TGGAGTTATGACATTAAGAACAGCCTTACAGAAATGTACATCAGTCTCAATAGCGCTCTTGACAGAGCTCACCAACGAATTTTACATCTCCCTCCGACACTTCGCTGAGGTACAAGGTGGAAGAGAAGAAGAAGAAGAAGACAAATAATAATAATAATAAGAAGAAGTTTGCCATTGCACAGAAGGGTCAGCTCTTGGTACCATCGTTGAAACCAATGCAAGGCAAATCGTCCGCAGCAGGAATCAAACCCGACACCCAGGCATTACAAAGCGCCTTCGCAACTCCTAAGCCACAGACGCCGACCTAAAATGTGTAGCAGCCAGTAAATGTCCTAAGAATGTATTACCAGCAGTGTACCAATTAGTTTATGAATCTATAACGATATGACCTACGGGTATTTTTTTAAAAATTTACTTCCATCTCGGGAACTCCGAGATTCTGTGTGGAGTTCCTGGAAAAGTCCAATATTATTATGGAGGGCAGGGGAAAAGGGGGGGGGGGGAGGCGGGTTAGCATTTATGGTAAGTTGTTAGTCTGTGTTCATTTCACACCTTAACATCCCTTTACTATTGGACTTTCACGTGAACTCCCCACGACATTTCACAGCTTAACATCCCTTTACTATTGGACTTTCACGTGAACTCCCCACGACATTTCACAGCTTAACATCCCTTTACTATTGGACTTTCACGTGAACTCCCCACGACATTTCACACCTTAACATCCCTTTACTATTGGACTTTCACGTGAACTCCCCACGACATTTCACACCTTAACATCCCTTTACTATTGGACTTTCACGTGAACTCCCCACGACATTTCGAATTTCCCGAGATTGGGTGAATTAAAAGAAGAGACCCTAACCCTGCAAGCAGGCGGCGCAGAGGATCCGAGGGTTTCAGATGCGGCGATGAGCAGGGCAGGGGCCGTTTGAGGGTTATATAGTAGAATAAAGGGGGAAAACATGGGAAATGATTAGCTTGGCGGAGAGGGATCGAATAAGTTATAAATATAGAAATATTTAAATGTGATTATAGGGGCGGGTGTCACCTGTGACTTGGGGTGGTTTGTGGTTAGTTGTCATCATCATCATGTACCTTGTCGACGGGTGTGGGCGATCATGTCTCTCCAGGGTCGGTTGTGGTGTCAGTTGTTAGCGGATGAGCAAAAGTGTCAGTAGCTCATTGAGGGGTCGGTTAGTTAGATGTGCTGTATTAGGACCCCTGTAGCACATGATGCTATGACTTTATATATATATATATATATATATATATATATATATATATATATATATATATATATATATATATATATAATATATATATATATATATATGTGTGTGTGTGTGTGTGTGTGTGTGTGTGTGTGTGTGTATGTCTCACTGAACATTGGCATCTAACATTACGACATTACATCAACCTAGTTTACTGTAGTTTTTACATTTTGTTGTATGAAAAGTCAAAGCACCATATGCTACAGGTGTCCTAACACAGCACATCTAACTAACCGACACATGACTTGTTCCTCTCACTGATCACCGGCACCTAACATTGCGATACGTCACTAGCGCTCTATGGCACAACTTTAAGTTGTTTCAACAATATATATATGTATAGTAATGTTAGATGCCAATGTTCAGTGAGAGAGTCAAGTCGTCATATCGACTTGTTAGATAAGGAGTTTTAGTAGGCCGAGAGATACCATAACTTGCGTAATGTGCTTCATACCTTTGTCTGTGGCCTTCATGAGTCGTTCATTCAAGTTCTTTTGTAAGGATACTCACTATCTTAGGGCCATTTTAACTTACTCGATGTGTTTCTTGTTTGGGACATACTAAGTAGGCCAGTCTACTTCACAAGTGGTTCACCGAAGTTCGTTGGTAAGGCCCCTCACTATCCTCGGGACATTTTAACTCACTCTTTCTCATTCAGGACATCTTACAACATTCAGTGTTCTTCTCAACTGATTTACCATTTTATGTCTTTGTGACATCATGAATCACCTGATGCCTTTCTCTCTTGGGACACACGGTAACGTCTTTCTCCTTTTTTGACACTTTAAATTACTGGTTGTGAGTCACTAGATGCTTTTTCTAAGGGGGACATTGTTCAATGTATTGTTCTCCCGCGACACACTAATTCGTAAAAACAAGTAAAGATCCCTTTTCGCCTTTATGCGCATCGGGCATACAGGAAGAGCACCCATGTTTTTGCACCCAATCGTTACTGGGTGGGTAATGTGGTCAGTATTACTCCGCCCATCTTTAATTCCTCAGGACACACATCCTAGTACCCATTCGGCCACTAAAGTTCCTTGGTAAGTCATCCACTCTTCTTGGGACACAGCAACTCACTCGATGTGTTCTCCTTTCGGGAGAAAAGGTTACTAAGTCACACAGGATACTTCTTAAGTCTGTCACTGGTCTGTAAGAGGTTGTCGTAGGAGCTCTGCGCCCATTAGTTTGCCCTGAGGTCAGTAATACTGTTAAGACAGCCCTGGAAAAAGAAAAGGGGATGGCGCACCCAAATCTGTCAATCCGGTCCTGCCGTCATTGAAAGCTTATAAATAGTAGTCAGTGTGCTATTATCTGTCTATTAAACATTATCATATACCCTTCGCATTTCATGATTCTTTTTCTCTTGAGAGATCGAAACTAAAACGTAACTAGTACTTCACTCATGTCTCTTGGTAAGTCACTAGATGTCTTTTCCACTGGGGACTTCGCTCGATGTCTTGTTCCTTTGGAACACCTTAAACCACGCATTATACAATGCAGGTTTGTCACTGGTCTTGACAACTCGGCCACCGAAGTCCCTTGGTAAGTCCTCCACTATTCTTGAGACACAGTCTCTCGCTCGATGAGTCCTGCTTTTGGGACAGCTTAAGTCACGCAAGCTACTTCTTAAGTCTGTCACCGGTCTTGACAAATCTGTCACCGAAGTTCCTGGTTACCGTCTATTCTTGGGATAACTCAAGTCACTCGACGACTTTCTTCTTTGGGACAGCTTAAGTAAGCCAATGTACGTTTCACGTGGCTCTCCGAAGCTCCTTGGTAAGCTGGTCACCATCCTTGGTAAACTTTAAGTCGATAGGAGCTTCTTTGGGATATCTTAAGTAGCTCAGCTTACTTTTTAATTGATTCACCAAAGTTCATGGAGCTGGCCACTATCCTTAGTGCACTTTAAGTCAATAGATTTAGCTTTTCCTTCGAGACATACGGAGTGGCTCAAGATACTTTTTAAGGCTGTCACTGGTCTTGACAAGCCGGGTCCCTGAAGTTCCTTGGTAAGTGGTCTACTCTTCCTGGGACACCTCAGTTACTCGCTGTCTTTCTTCACAGGAACATCATAAGCTGCTCAATGCCTGTTTATTTTACTGTAGATGTGCAAACTTTGCAACAAAATCTGGCTAACCCTCTGACTACCGACCAATCATCCCTTTCGTTTTGTCATAAGTTACTTGCACTTTTTCACAAAGTTAAAAATGACGATTTCAAAAGTCAATTGGCCCGTCTAACCAAGTGTGTACATACAACACAGTACTGTACTATGATATATGTTCAATGCCTACAAGTTGTAGATTCCCCCCTTCCCAACCGTTACCCTCAACGAGTATATCACTGGGAGACATAGCTTCACGAAAAGGGCTAACAGACGATTTCCATATTTTGTCTGGGCGCGGAAAGAAGTGGATATCCCACGTCACACTCGATGGCTCATTATCTATGGAAGCTTAACTAAACACCAGACCACTGTATCTATTATGGAACAGTCTTTACCCAATTCATATCAAATGGTTGTTGACAATGAAACACGAAACACAAACACATACGCACGCACACACACGCACACACACACGCACAAACACACACACACACACACGCACAATAGAAACACAGAAATGCATTGAAAATGAGCAGTCCAATCAAGTAAACAACTTCAATAACTCAATACAGGTAGCCTCCCTTTTAGTCTCATGACGACATCAAATACAACAATGAAACATCTGGTAGGTAACTGGCAAAATGTCACCAGACCTAGAGATTAGTGACGTGGCAAATGTCCAGTGCAACTTTCATTCCTGGTTACTGCTTTCAGTGCCAGACATGGACATTTGCGACACAACAAAAAAAGATTTATCATCGTGTAGCAGATCCTTTGCAGAACGTCGCTCCCATCACAGTCTGCCAGCTCTACCGCCTCGTGCACTTTCATATTGAAGAGGTCACTTATATCATGTGCTCAGATTCATGCTGGTCGGTTCCCACCCCTTCTTCCTGGTACCGTGTCTTCTGCTTTAAAAAGATTAAATAATGGGAACAAACACAAGACACAATATGTGAGCTCAACCTTGGCAGATGTTTGTTTAACCATAGCGTGTTCTGCAACACAAAAACACACAGACATTTGGTTTTTGATTCGTTTTATTTAACATTAATTTGCGACGTGCCTATCTATACAAACTCTTAGAAGAGCAATGCAAAAAAAAAAATATTTTAACAATAATCATACTAGACTGCATGGAACTGAATACCAGCAGTTTAAGTTTGTGAAATATAGCAAGTCGAATGCTTTGATCCGCCGCTGTAACACGAAAACACAATAAGAGGAACAGTGGGAAAAACGAAAGTCAAGTTTCATTAAGTGAACAGAAGAAACGCATTATACATCAATAAAGTTATAAATAACAGTTTTGATGAAGGTTTGATAAAGCCCTAAAATATATTATATTTTTAATTCCACCCTTCCCCGAGCCCGCCTCTCTTGAAAAATACCATCTATTTTCAAGATGTTGAGTTAATTAATTACATAATAATTATTTGGCTGCTTTGATCTATAATTATATTACAATATAGTGTACTAATTGTAAATAATACTGAAATAAAACCGAACTAGTGATTCAACTCACATTTTCTCAGATTAAAGAAAAGTGTATATTCCAGGTTTTTTTCTTTAAGACTCATACACATTAACAAACTGGGATGGCACACAAGGAGGGCTTATCTGACCACACGTAAAGTCCTGGATTCAATCTGTCTGACAGGAACAACTGACAGCTGCAGTGCCGCCTCAAGTCTGTCTCTCACATCCTGGCAGATGGGGCCGTCATGGTGAACTGTTGCCCACGCTTGTCCTGTCAATACACACAGCACATCTACACACAGCACATCTACACACAGCACATCTACACACAGCACATCTACACACAGCACATCTACACATAGCACATCTACACACAGCACATCTACACACAGCACATCTACACACAGCACATCTACACATAGCAACTGTTCCATTTATCAGTTGCGTAGCCAGATGGAAGGGTTAAACTTCTTCTTGTTGTTCTTTCTTTCTTTCTTTCTTTATTTCTTTCTGTCTTTCTTTCTTTCTTTCTTTCTTTCTTTCTTTCTTTCTTTCTTTCTTTCTTTCTTTCTTTCTTTCTTTCTTTCTTTCTTTCTTTCTTTCTTTCTTTCTTTCTTTCTTTCTTTCTTTATCTCTTTCCCTCTTTCTTTCTTTCTTTCTTTCTTTCTTTCTTTCTTTCTTTCTTTCTTTCTTTCTTTCTTTCTTTCTTTCTTTCTTTCTTTCTTTCTTTCTTTCTTTCTTTCTTTCTTTTCTTTCTTTCTTTTGTTCTTTCTGTCTTTCTTTCTTTCTTTCTTTCTTTCTTTCTTTCTTTCTTTCTTTCTTTCTTTCTTTCTTTCTTTCTTTCTTTCTTTCTTTCTTTTCTTTCTTTCTTTTGTTCTTTCTGTCTTTCTTACTTTCTTTTGTTCTTTCTTTCTTTCTTTCTTTCTTTCTTTCTTTCTTTCTTTCTTTCTTTCTTTCTTTCTTTCTTTCTTTCTTTCTTTCTTTTCTTTCTTTCTTTTGTTCTTTCTGTCTTTCTTACTTTCTTTTGTTCTTTGGTACTGGGTTATGTGTGCCAGGTGTATTGGTTGGTACTGTGTTATGTGTGCGATGTGTATTGGTTGATGCTGGGTTATGTGTGCCAGGTGTATTGGTTGGTGCTGGGTTATGTATGCCAGGTGTATTGGTTGATGCTGGGTTATGTGTGCCAGGTGTATTGGTTGATACTGTGTTATGTATTTCAGGTGTATTGGTTGATGCTGGGTTATGTGTGCCAGGTGTATTGGTTGATACTGTGTTATGTGTGCCAGGTGTATTGGTTGATGCTGGGTTATGTGTGCCAGGTGTATTGGTTGATGCTGGGTTATGTGTGCCAGGTGTATTGGTTGATGCTGGGTTATGTGTGCCAGGTGTATTGTTTGATGCTGTGTTATGTGTGCCAGGTGTATTGGTTGATGCTGGGTTATGTGTGCCAGGTGTATTGGTTGATGCTGGGTTATGTGTGCCAGGTGTATTGGTTGATACTGTGTTATGTGTGCCAGGTGTATTGGTTGATGCTGTGTTATGCGTGCCAGGTGTATTGGTTGATGCTGGGTTATGTGTGCCAGGTGTATTGGTTGATGTTGTGTTATGTGTGCGATGTGTATTGGTCGATGCTGTGTTATATCTGCCAGGTGTATTGGTTGATGCTGGGTTATGTGTGCCAGGTGTATTGGTTGATGTTGGGTTATGTGTGCCAGGTGTATTGGTTGATGCTGTGTTATGCGTGCCAGGTGTATTGGTTGGTGCTGTGTTATGCGTGCCAGGTGTATTGGTTGATGCTGGGTTATGTGTGCCAGGTGTATTGGTTGATGCTGGGTTATGTGTGCCAGGTGTATTGGTTGGTGCTGTGTTATGCGTGCCAGGTGTATTGGTTGATGCTGGGTTATGTGTGCTAGGACTGCCTTGATTTCTGGTTTACAGCTGACCTTAATATATGTGCCTTTCTGTCAAGAACACCCGTTCTATTCATCCTTCAATTATTTCCTTTCACCAATGCTTGTAAAGGTCTGCAAGTCTTTTCTCCTGCCATCACAGTGAGGTCCCGGAACTCGTAAAGAAGAAAATAATACCCAGCCGAAACTATATCAATTATTGTTGACATGTTCCCAACCAGAGCACAACGGAAAAAAGGGAGGTGGGTGAAGAAGGGGGGGGGGGGGGGGAGGTGTGAGGGATCTAACATTGATAGACTTCAGTGTCTTCTGGGTGAGTCGAGGCTTGAAATAAGGGATCTCTACCTGATTTTGTTAGGCAATGTGTGGATTAAACTAGCATGTTTCTGTGCTTGTTATCTTCTAGATCAACATCACATCTTCTTTGTATCTCTTGTTTTCCCTCAAGTTGAGCTGAGCAGAATCGACGTCAGATAACTCGGAACATATCCACAATCGCCCGGTTTCTTTCTTCAGTAGGTGCACGGAAATGTTTCCTTCGATAGATCTTTCCGGATGACACCACATGTTCGAGATTTTCCCAGAGTCTAGGCGTAAGGAAATGATATAGATAAACCCATTCTTCTGACTGGCCAGTTTAAGAAGGCAGATGAAGTATACTAGATAGTTCATCGACAGATTATCCTCATTGCACATCGGATAAGTCCATAAGCGCTCAGATCCCTTCTTCAGGATCTCCTCCAGAGTGTGGCGACTGATAGCACCAGTTATGTGTTGGGTTACTATTCTTCTATGGCTACATCTGGGCCCCATGCACTGTTTGTGTGTATGTGTGTGTGTGTCTGCCTCAACACAGCCCTGATTTCACCCACACGCAGAAAGTCTTTTTCCTCCATGTCATGGGCATTACAATTACCTTTAACGTGTTCTGGCGTTCTGTTCACTTTGCTCAAAGAAGCGAGCGAGTAGAGCCATGCTTTTTTGCTCGTCAGTTCTCTGCCAAGGGACGTCACTACTCTGGAAGTCTGGAGTGCATTTGCTTTTTGGTTCCCTCTTCATACTTCTATACAAGCGCCAGAACAATTTCAGTGATTTGTCTCTGCACATCATCATGCACAACTCTGTCCACTTCTCATTTTTAGCAATTCTAGCCAGAGATTGGAAACAGGCAGTCTTCTCATCCATGACTTGTTTCAACAGCTAAATGTGGTCGGGTAAAGCAGTTCTGCGTTTTTCATCATGTTGCCTTGTTTAAACGGCTTGCCGCTTATCTATCCTAGATTTCTGCACCTCGTCATTCCACCAGGGGTGTTGTATCCAGTTTCCCCCCCCCCCCCTTAAAGGTGTGTGTTTAACGCTTCTTACGCCTGATTGCACTCAACACGTCATGCCTGGTAGTGTCGTACCTAAAAGTTTACACCTTGGCTTTGTTTCCTAGACCTGCTTTTTCTCCACCAGTATGCAGCAGGGAAGATGATCACTGTCGTGTCGCCCTAGGACACTCCTTAGACATACGGGCAGGAGCAGAGGGGATACCAAGGTCAGGTCAATAGCGTTGTCTGCGTCCCTTGGTCGGCTCGCCAGTCTGGTGGCACAGTCGTTGTTGATGCATACAAGATTGGGTGATTCAAGCACATCTTCGAGCTCTCCTGCAGGGCCCCGATACCTGATCTGGACATAAGGATATCTAGAATGGCTCCGCGTTGTCTGAAGCTTTGCACAGTTCAGATTTAAAATTCCAAGGTTGTTGAGGCCTACAGGGACGAATTTGAGCCGAGTTTTTCTCGCTCCCACACGCCTGCCCTTTCTGCAGCGCCGTCGTCGCTTACCTCTTCGGGTCTTACTTGACAGGTCAAAACCAACACAGTGTTCCGCTATGATGACAACAAAAACGTCACATCCGCCGCACGCTGTTGGACATATTTCCCAGATGTTTTCAGCTCTGATGCACGAAACTCTGTAGCACCAACGAAAATCTTTTTAAAAAAATGACTTTCTTTGTTATTTCTGTATCACGCTAACTATAAACAATAAAGGCATTCCATTCTTGTTATGCATAATCAATGGCGGTTAGAAAACACAACAATGACCGCTCCCATTTTGCCCCGGAAGTCATTTGTAGTATGTCAAGGTAAAAAGTAATGGGAATATAAACATGGGTCAAAGATGATTGACAGCTTCATACAACAGCTGGCAAATGAAGCCTACAGCTAGCCCCTACCTTTCTGAACATGGTCACCGATATCCACAAGTAGCTGGACACCCACTGCCCAGTTGACCAGTTCCCCGGGCAGATTGCGACCTCCTCCTAGCTTGTGAGTGACCACAGCGATGTCCAAAGCGTCGAGGCGTTTAACGTAACCTAAGAGGCGATACGTTTATGAAGTTATTCCAAGACATTGGTTCTCCCCAATAATGCCCTGGGACTTTCACACATTTTTACTAAAAGTAATGTTTGAGACCCGTTTTGAAATTGCTGTAAACATCGTTGCAGCTTGTGTGTGTGTGTGTGTGTGTGTGTGTGCGCGCGCGCGCGTGTTTGTGTGTGCATCCCCCCCCCGCCGCCCTATTTTACCCCCTCTTGGGTTGTATGTTAGGTGTTAGGAGATTAGGACGCAGTGGCAAAGACTCCGTCGTCGCCCCTAAGCCTTGCCTGTGGTCTCATGACTTTCTGTAAGAACCTGAAGTTATGCAGCTGCTTGTGAACCCTTGGTGTTGTGCTGCATGTTTAGACTTCTAGAATCAGGGATAGCAATAGGAGGCGGCATATAGTTCTATACACGTGTCGGTAGTTGCAGCCTGCAAGGCATCCTCGCTATCCTAGCCTAAACTTCCTAATTAGAGAACTAATACCTTGCATTATACTCCTGTGTTTTGCATGGGCTGAAGAAGGAAGGCAAACTGGGGCGATATTCGGGAGCATGAAACATCACTTTCTCCAGGACGAGATCAGGTCACGGTAGTTATCTAGGCACCCTGTCAACACCTGCACCCCGTCCACACCTGCACCCCGTCCACACCTGCACCCCGTCCACACCTGCACACCGTCCACACCTGCACGCCGTCCACACCTGCACGCCGTCCACACCTGCACGCCGTCCACACCTGCACGCCGTCCACACCGTCAACACCTTGATGCGGGTTTTTAAACATTAGCCTTATAAATATCAACCAAAACCCTAGTACAAACCCATACTATTATCTAAGCAATGTCGACAATAAAGGCAACTGTAGTCCCTTTCCCGGTTGTTTATGACTGGCTGACTGACTGACTGATTATGACCGGCTGACTGACTGACTGATTATGACTGGCTGACTGACTGACTGATTATGACTGGCTGACTGACTGACTGATTATGACTGGCTGACTGACTGACTTTCTACCCCACCAGGACATCACACTGAGCGATAAACACTCGGTGACACAAAGCGCCACCACGGATGAGGGTAACCAATGGAGAGGTCACAGAAACCCTTTTCAACCGTTAGGTTATTTTAATGCCCATGGGAAAAACCAGGGTTGAGCATCTAAACAGTCAAATATTCACCATATAAGGGGACAGAGATTGTAAGTTTGTTGTTCTATTTATGTGCCTATGTTCTCTTCATTTCCTTAGTATTTCTAGTCATTTTTGTGGTGCTGTGTTAGCTACTTCACATTGTTCTAATGTTTTACTTACAACACCCAGGCAGATAACCTAGCACAATCCACATATTCGACTACAATCTTATTTATATTTTACTCACCATCATATATGTATTTGATCTATCATCTTATTTAAATTTGACTCACTATCATATATGTATTTGATCTACCATCTTATTTATATTTTACTCACCATCATATATGTATTTGATCTACCATCTTATTTATATTTTACTCACCATCACATATGTATTCGATCTACCATCTTATTTATATTTTACTCACCATTAAATATATATTCGATCTACCATCTTATTTATATTTGATTCACCATCGCATATATATTTGATCTACCATCTTTTTTATATTTGACTCACCATCATATATGTATTTGATCTATCATCTTATTTAAATTTGACTCACTATCATATATGTATTTGATCTACCATCTTATTTATATTTTACTCACCATCATATATGTATTTGATCTACCATCTTATTTATATTTTACTCACCATCACATATGTATTCAATCTACCATCTTATTTATATTTTACTCACCATTAAATATATATTCGATCTACCATCTTATTTATATTTGATTCACCATCGCATATATATTTGATCTACCATCTTTTTTATATTTGACTCACCGTCATAAATGTATTCTATCTACCATCTTATTTATATCTGACTCACCATCACATATGTATTCGATCTACCATTTTATTTATATTCGACTCACCATCACATACGTATTTGATCTACCATATTATTTATATTTGACCCACCATCACATATATATGCGATCTACCATCTTATTTATATTTGACCCACCATCACATATGTATTCGATCTACCATCTCATTTATATTTGATTTACCATTACATTTGTATTCTATCTATCATATTATTTATATTTGACTCACCATCACATATGTATTCGACCTACCATTTTATTTATATTCGACTCACCAATACATAGGTATTCGATCTCCCATCTCATTTATATTTGACTCACCATCACATATGTATTCGATCTACCATTTTATTTATATTCGACTCACCATCACATACGTATTCGATCTACCTTCCTATTTATATTTGACTCACCATCACATATGTATTCGATCTACCATCTTATTTATATTTTACTCACCATTACATATATATTCGATCTACCATCTTTTTTATATTTGATTCACCATCGCATATATATTTGATCTACCATATTATTTATATTTGACCCACCATCACATATGTATTCGATCTACTATCTCATTTATATTTGATTCACCATTACATTTGTATTCTATCTACCATCTTATTTATATTTGACCCACCATTACATATGTATTTGATCTACCATCTTATTTATAATTGACCCACCATCACATATATATTCGATCTACCGTCTTATTTATATTTGACCTAACATTATTTATGTATTTGAGCTGCCATCTTATTTATATTTAACCCACGATCATATATGTATTCGACCAAACATCCTATTTTGTGGTGACATACCAAGGTTCATGTAATTGATCTAGTCTTATCTATATTTAGCTTATCATAATGTATGTGTCTGACCTATCATCCTATTTATATTTCAGCTACCATCATATATATATTTAACCTACTATCTTTTTTGTATATTATCTAGTATTTTATCTAGTCTTATTTATATTTGACCTATCATCCTATTTATATTTCAGCTACCATCATATATATATTTAACCTACTATCTTTTTTGTATATTATCTAGTATTTTATCTAGTCTTATTTATATTTGACCTATCATCCTATTTATATTTCAGCTACCATCATATATATATTTAACCTACTATCTTTTTTGTATATTATCTAGTATTTTATCTAGTCTTATTTATATTTGACCTATCATCTTATTTATATTTGACCTATGTACTTTTTTTATATTTGAACTACCATCATTTATGTTTTTGACCTACATAGTTTCTGTGTCTTACCTTCCACCAAAAATGCATTTGACGTAGGACCATTTTTTTTTTTTTTAAATATTTGAACTGCAGTTACATTGGTTTCACTTTTAATCTTTTTTGTATTTGACCTGCTATCCTACTTTTATTTGACCTACCATCAGTTTAAAAAAAAAGACCATGGCTCCCAGGTCGAACAATCCTTGAGTGGGTACAATGTACCTTCATGGGAAGTAAAGGCGACCAGAAGGATGCTGACCACAGCACCCACCAAGTGCCGACTAGCTAATAAAATAAAAGTCCAGCATACATGCCCAATACGCCAAAAGGCGTGTAAAAGGGTCCTTGACTTCACTACTGTAATTTATGTATTTTCCCGACCATAATCCTTGTATTTTATCAACCATCTTTCGTGTATTTGATAACCATCTTTCGTGTATTTGATAACCATCTTCCTGCTGTTTAACCTACCATAATTCATGTTGACCCGCCATCAGATCTGTAATTGACCCGCCATAATCTTTGTGGTTGAACTACTAACCCATTTGCATTTGACCTACTATTCTCCTAAAAGCTAACCTACCATTTCCTAGTAGTTGATACACCATTATTGCGGTGATTCATCTGCCAGTTGATACACCATTTATTGCGGTGATTCATCTGCCAGTTGATACACCATTATTGCGGTGATTCATCTGCCACTATTCATCAGAACACCTGCTGTCATATTTGCGTTTGAATAACCATTATTAAACTAGATACTTATTAGTATACGAGATACGTAATAGCATATTTCTTAGCAGCTTATTCATTCCAAAATTAAACAACCAGTGCCAAACATGGACACTATCTAAAGCCCATAAACGCAAAATTACTACCTGCGAGATGAGATGCCTGAGAAAAGCAGCCAACCTAACCATCCGAGATCGCGTTTATAATGAAACTATCCGGCATACTGAGGGAACGACACCTTGTACTAGATTCATCGAGAAACAACAGATCAAGTGGTTTGGTCATCTCGTTAGAATGCAGCCAGATGAAATAACATCACAGGCACTACATCTCAGAAGATCAGCTACAAGAGCAAAAGGACGACCACGGAAAACATGGATCGACAACATTAAAGACACTCTACGCCTTCACGGCATGGCAATAGCCAGTGGTAGCCAACGTGCACTGGATTGCAAATTATACCTCCCCCCGACGCTTAACGGAAGAAGTGGTTTATGATGGTGATGATGAAGTAATAGAATCAGCAAATTCAGCATCAGTTGTACCCCTATGTTGTGCTGTCAGTGCCAAACACAAGAACAGAAAAATAACAACTGCCATATTTGTCACCATGACCCCAAGAAGGGACAGGGTCATATAAACTAGCATTATAGAAAAGCTGGGAGAGGACCAAGCGGGAATTATACTGAAAGACAGAATCAAGTATATGTGGCCACCTAATAATAATGCAACCAGAGCAAATTGACCGTCAGGCATTCTATTGCACACCATCTGGGTAAAAAGCGAGAGCAAAAAACGAGGAAGAGATAGATATGGGGTAGCTGAATCCTACGGAAAAAAAAAGATGAAAAACAAAAACCTCACTCAAGCCACAGGAGACACGCACAACAAACAGATAAAACCACAACACTGGGCTACAACCTGGTAATAGTGGGTTGACACAAGAAAAACCAAAGAAGATATTTCCTTGTAAATTGCTGACCACAAACCCAGTATTTGACTTACCATAACCCCAGTATTTGACTTACCATAACCCCAGTATTTGACTTACCATAACCCCAGTATTTGACTTACCATCTTCCTTGGATTGGAATTCTGTTTTGTTTTTGGCCTGGGTCAAGATTTTCCACACGTCTGTTCGTGGATTACATAAGTCATCGGCGACATCAGCTGACACACCTTGACCTTTCAACATAGCACAGAACTTGGCCAGAGCCGAACCATCAGCAATCTTACTTCTCAGTAGATTACCACCTTCCTTGATGCTGGACACAAAATTGCCCGAGTGAAGCAGATGAGCACCTGGGGAAGCAATCATTTCGTACATTGTAGCAGCTTAGTAACCTTAGTCGTTATTTGGGATTCAGTGCAGACAAGTCGCCCAACACCTGCTCCCTATCCGTACCAGTAGCAGTCACATACATGTCCTTGACTGTTGCGTGTGAAAAGTAGTGATTAACATATCAGTCCCAGCAAAATCTGGAAGCCAAGCTCGCACATGCAGAATAAATGCATAAGACAGTCTTCAGAAGTGCCAACACTAACATTCTCAAACCATATTTGTAACTCGCTGTTGACGAAAGCCGATTACGAACGCTGGCATCGCACACACAAAACTGTATATGTACACTCACTATCTAAAGCAATCGGCTACTCATAGTTTTTTGGTGAAACTCATAACAGATCTTATCTATTGATTAATGAAAGGACCGGGTTTATGACTGCCATGATGAGACAGCGTGGTAGTGACATCTTATCTATTGATTAATGAAAGGATCAGGTTTATGACTGCCACTTTGAGACAGTCTAGTAGTGACATCTTATCTATTGATTAATGAAAGGATCAGGTTTATGACTGCCTCGATGAGACAGTGTGGTAGTGACATCTTATCTATTGATTAATAAAAGGACCAGGTTTATGACTGCCATGATGAGACAGTGTGGTAGTGACATCTTATCTATTGATTAATGAAAGGACCAGGTTTATGACTGCCTCGATGAGACAGTGTAGTAGTGACATCTTATCTATTGAATTATGAAAGGACCGGGTTTATGACTGCCATGATGAGACAGCGTGGTAGTGACATCTTATCTATTGATTAATTAAAGGACCAGGTTTATGACTGCCTCGATGAGACAGTGTAGTAGTGACATCTTATCTATTGATTAATGAAAGGACCAGGTTTATGCCTGCCTCGATGAGACAGCGTGGTAGTGACATCTTATTTATTAATTAATGAAAGGACCAGGTTTATGACTGCCTCGATGAAACAGTGTAGTAGTGACATCTTATCTATTGATTAATGAAAGGACCAGGTTTATGACTGCCTCGATGAGACAGTGTGGTAGTGACATCTTATCTATTGATTTATGAAAGGACCAGGTTTATGACTGCCACGATGAGACAGGTTGTAAAAAAAGTCTGATATTATCAATGTAGTGTGTCCTATCATGTGAAACTTGTTCCGATGTTGCTTTGATTCTGAGAAATTCTGTCAGCTCATTAAATGTCCATTCAACAAAGGCCAGTGAGTCGTTACATGCGTACATTTTACGGATCATATGAGAGGAGCGACTGGTCGAGTGATTAGATCAATTGGCTCCCATGAAGGAGACTGATGCAACAATCTTCAGGTTTATTTTATTTCTCGTTCCAGATAAATGTCAAAATCAACGTTTAGAATGTTTTGAAAGTGCGCTGTCTTGAAGGCACATTTATAAAATAATGCATTAGAATAGTGTTTTTCTCCTCAGTCTGGTTCTATACTGATAGACACACACAAAAATGTCAGTCATATTTAGGTTTGATGTCTCTTCCACAATTTAGGATGTTAGATAGTCGACAGGCCTGCCTCACTGCATATCCAGCCATTGAGCATTTTCTGCAACCTTTATACGTACATCCTTCAGAGTGTTGTTGTTCTTGGATTAATCACCTTTGGCTTCTTACACAGATCTCCTGTCTTGATTCGCCTCTTTTGTCACCCCACTTATTACAATTCAAAGGCTGCAAATGTACATGATTTGTGTCAACGTCGTTGTATAGAAGTAATTCTGACAATAGCATCCCCTTTTTAGGCTAGTTCACCACCTCTGATCTAGGTCTGATACCCGGCCCTCTCTCCTGTGGTTTCTGGTAGGTGTCAGCATGTGACAGTGACCATCTCCCGGGAAATAGCTGAGGTTTCTGGTAGGTGTCAGCATGTGACAGCGACCATCTCCAGGGAAATAGCTGTGGTTTCTGGTAGGTGTCAGCATGTGACAGCGACCATCTCCAGGGAAACAGCTGTGGTTTCTGGTAGGTGTCAGCATGTGACAGCGATCATCTCCAGGGAAACAGCTGTGGTTTCTGGTAGGTGTCAGCATGTGACTGCGACCATCTCCAGGGAAACAGCTGTGGTTTCTGGTAGGTGTCAGCATGTGACAGCGATCATCTCCAGGGAAACAGCTGTGGTTTCTGGTAGGTGTCAGCATGTGACAGCGATCATCTCCAGGGAAACAGCTGTGGTTTCTGGTAGGTGTCAGCATGTGACTGCGACCATCTCCAGGGAAACAGCTGTGGTTTCTGGTAGGTGTCAGCATGTGACAGCGATCATCTTCAGGGAAACAGCTGTGGTTTCTGGTAGGTGTCAGCATGTGACAGCGATCATCTCCAGGGAAACAACTGTGGTTTCTGGTAGGTGTCAGCATGTGACAGCGACCATCTCCCGGGAAATAGCTGTGGTTTCTGGTAGGTGTCAGCATGTGACAGCGACCATCTCCCGGGAAACAGCTGTGGTTTCTGGTAGGTGTCAGCATGTGACAGCGACCATCTCCCGGGAAATAGCTGTGGGGAGCTAGCTGAACCAAAGCGGATAGCCAACTTAGTTAATCGTTGAATCAGTGCATACCTTCCTTGCATGCAAAGGCTGGATTTGGCGGACTGTGAGGATGAAACACGCCTGGTTTAACAGACAAAAAGGCGCCTACCAACACGCTTTGCGGTGCCTCGAGCAAGGCATGGAATTCAAGACAATTGGTCTTTCACTACACACAAGTCCATTTATAGTAGATGTCCCTAGAATAGACATTGTTATAAGGGAAACAGGTGCTAAAAGAACCTGTGCCATCCTCATCAAGAAATAACGTGTTTCAGGACAGCCACGAAATATTACACCACACACAGCCCTAGTCCTGTCACTGAGGCACAACGGGAGCGGAACTTAAAGTTTCCCACATAAGCTAAGGCTAAATGGAATATCTAATGCGGTGGACAACATCATCTGCGTCGCATTCAACAAAGCTTGCACAAAATGCCTCTTCAAAACTTGGTTCTGAAAGGCAGAACAGGGAAATTAATAAAGAAAGAAAGGGAAAGGAAAGGGAAAAAAAACATGAAGCCGAATATCTTCTCGCATAGATTTCTAATCCTCACCTAAATCTAGAACGGCGTCCAGTAGATCAGCAGGCCCGTTGCCTTGTAAGCACTGAACAGCCTCCGCAACCTCTAGGGCGTTGCCAACCATGTTTCCTAGAGGGGAGTCCATGTCTGTGATCAGAGCCACGGCCTTGGTCCCCAGTCTCTGGCTGCAGGTCACCTGGAAATATTGACATAGAAGACATGGTCACGGAGTCTCTGGCTACAAGTCACCTGGATATATTGACATAGAAGACATGGTCACGGAGTCTCTGGCTACAAGTCACCTGGATATATTGACATAGAAGACATGGTCACGGAGTCTCTGGCTACAGGTCACCTGGATATATTGACATAGAAGACATGGTCACGGAGTCTCTGGCTACAAGTTACCTGGATATATTGACATAGAAGACATGGTCACGGAGTCTCTGGCTACAAGTTACCTGGATATATTGACATAGAAGACATGGTCACGGAGTCTCTGGCTACAAGTTACCTGGATATATTGACATAGAAGACATGGTCACGGAGTCTCTGGCTACAAGTTACCTGGATATATTGACATAGAAGACATGGTCACGGAGTCTATGGCTGCAGGTCACCTGGATATATTGACATAGAAGACATGGTCACGGAGTCTATGGCTGCAGGTCACCTGGATATATTGACATAGAAGACATGGTCACGGAGTCTATGGCTACAAGTTACCTGGATATATTGACATAGAAGACATGGTCACGGAGTCTCTGGCTACAAGTTACCTGGATATATTGACATAGAAGACATGGTCACGGAGTCTATGGCTGCAGGTCACCTGGATATATTGACATAGAAGACATGGTCACGGAGTCTCTGGCTACAAGTCACCAGGATATATTGACATAGAAGACATGGTCACGGAGTCTCTGGCTACAGGTCACCAGGATATATTGACATAGAAGACATGGTCACGGAGTCTCTGGCAACAGGTCACCTGGATATATTGATATAGAAGACATGGTCACGGAGTCTCTGGCTACAAGTCACCTGGATATATTGACATAGAAGACATGGTCACGCAGTCTCTGGCTACAAGTCACCTGGATATATTGACATAGAAGACATGGTCACGGAGTCTCTGGCTACAAGTCACCTGGATATGTTGACATAGAAGACATGGTCACGGAGTCTCTGGCAACAGGTCACCTGGATATATTGATATAGAAGACATGGTCACGGAGTCTCTGGCTACAAGTCACCTGGATATATTGACATAGAAGACATGGTCACGCAGTCTCTGGCTACAAGTCACCTGGATATATTGACATAGAAGACATGGTCACGCAGTCTCTGGCTACAAGTTACCTGGATATATTGACATGGATTACATGGTCACGGAGTCTATGGCTACAGGTCACCTGGATATATTGACATAGAAGACATGGTCACGGAGTCTCTGGCTGCAGGTCACCTGGATATACTGACATAGAAGACATGGTCACGGAGAATCACTGCCGGCATTTATAAAACACAGCATCCTGTGTCAACGAAAGCTGAGGTATGTTCACCTCATTACACTATACTGGAAAGAACGGTGATGAAAGGTGCATTTTCTGGAAAACAAGGCACAGTCAGACCTCCGTGAAAGCGGACTAAGACACTGAAGATGTACTCGCTATGAGAGCACATAGGGCTCGAGAAAAAGGTACCCTTCTGTAAAAGACCTACCGATTGTTGATGATTATAGTAGAAGTATTTAATGACAGCTTTCTGACAACCTGTGCGTACCAGCAGAGCAGTACAGTAGATTGTTAGCGACACTTTCTACGCTTAGAAGATTACGAACATCCAGCCTTTAAAGAGAGGTTCACTGCAGCAATAAAAACTGTTACTCTGGACACGATTTAGAAGACGTGAAAGGTTTGTGAGTACAATCTAGACATCCCAGAGCTGATCATGGCGCCAATATCGAAGTTCACTAAAGTTTTTTTTTTAAAGTGCAGACTTTTCTGAATTTACCAACTGTCCATGATTCATTTCCTTATATCCAGATAAGTTTATAGCTTTTAGGAATTCTCTTTCTCGGCTTAACTGACAAGGAAAGATTGCATGAGTGTTCTTCCAGTGTATAATCGCATGCTTCTGGCTATTTAAATTGAAGAATGGAACAATATTACTGGGACAAAAAAAAAAAAAAAAATGAAAAGATAGAATGTAGAAGAATTATATAATGAAGTTAGAGATGCACAACATAGAACGCAAAAACTGACAACACCACACAACACCACAATGTGCCAGGCCTTCGAAGATGATGCAATCCATATGCCAGCTAAACTGGTAACTGAAATCTATAAAAATGTTTAGTTCCCAGTAACCTATTGCAGTCCATAATCATAAAATTTGTCTAGGAAACCAAGTTTATTAACATGTAAAGATCATCACACAACTGTTCTTGTCACCTTTCCGTCTTTCCAGACGATCATGTTATTTTGTGATGTAGGGAGGCATACTAATTACCGCCCGTGACAAGTGTAACTTGGTGATTTGCAAAACCTGCTTCAGTTAAGGGAAGTCTTCCGCCATTGGTGCACCGAATTTCAGGACCGTTGTTACCATGGTATGTAGTTAGAGTTAGAGTCTTTCCCAATTCAGGCCCATCTTGCTGTTGAATGTTGAGGGCAAAATATTCTTCTCGGTCATGGCTCACACAGTATCTGATGGCGAACAAGTACATCGATACGAGTGTTCAGAAAGGCGGAATTCCGGGCGTCCCTTGAACACGCGACCATGATTTGGGAGTCTACTCAGAGAGCCAAGCATGAGAGAACCGAATTGCATGTTATATGGTTGGACCTCGCCAACGCCTATATGGCAGTTCCCTATAGACTACTGTGGCAGGCCCTTCACATGTTTCACGTACCGACACAGATCAACGAAATGATCGAGCAATATTTCTCTAAGTTCGCTATGCTCTTCTCTACCTCGACGTTTAACACGAGGTGGACTGAGCTACAAGTTGAGATAGCTATGGGGTGTACGATCTTACCCATACTGTTCGTCATGGCCATGCAGATCATGTTAGACGGGGCGGCCGGCTACGGACAAGGCCTTCAAATTGGGCACCACTGGATGCCGCCACTACGTGCATTTATGGATGACTCGACTATAATCACGGGCAGCGAGGGCCCGCACGATTCTGAAAAGATTGGACGCAGTGGTCCAATGGAGCGGTATGCAATTCAAACCGCAGAAGTCGAGGAGTGTGTCAATCCTGAAAGGTAAGGTAGCGGCAACCAGTTTTACTGTGGCAAAGAATACAATCCCCACGGTTCTAGAGGAACCGGTGAAGAGCCTTAATCGCGTTTACGATTCGAAGTTATCTGATAGAGCGGAGGTCCGGCGAATACACAAGTCCAAAGCTCCTCTGGCCGCTGTTAGTCTACGAAGTGACGATGACTGCAGTGGAGCGGAAAAATCAACACGGCCGTGAGAAAGTGGATTAGTGCACCGCCTCGTCTGACTGACGTGGCTCTGTATTGTAAGCAGACTAAGCTGGTACTCCTGTTCAAATCGATAACCGAAGAGTTTAAAGTCGGCAAAGTAAGACTCGCCATGTTCTTGCGCGAGTCTTCAGACCTAAATGTCATCGCTGTCCAGTCTAAAGACTGGTCTAAAATGGAAGGTCCTAGATGCGATAGAATCTGCTCAGAATGCACTAAAATTGAGGGAGATTATGGGTTACACTCAAACCGACCGTCGAAGCCAAGGACACGGGAAAGTCAGAGAGCGCCGAGACATGGTGATACAGCAAATAAGGGACAACGAAAACGAGGTTAGGGTTCAGAAGGCAGCCCAACAGTCGCAGCAGGGCCATTGGATCAACCTAGAGAGCGCCTTGCCACGAGTACTCACATGAGGTGAGATCTGGCGAATGACCCAGCTTCGACTGAGCTTCATCGTTGGTTCGGCTTATGATGTATTACCGTCTTGTGTAAACATGGTCAAGTGGAGTGCGACAAACGACCCGTCATGCCCGCTGTGCAGAGGAAACAGACGTTAGAACACGAACTGTCCGCATACAGAAAAGCCCTAGGTTAACTCAGATACACTTGGCCGCAACAACAAGGTGCTAAAAGAGTTAGCTGCAGTTGTGGACCAAGCTAGGATGAGGGCCAACCCGAGGGCCAGTCCTACTATTGTGCCCATACGCTTCCTCAAGGCTGGGCTGATTCACAAAGGTAGACTCAACAACGTCGCATACGCTCCATCTATGCTAGACACTCTGCGAGGGACTGGTTACAGGCGGTTGACCTGCCTGGCCATGAAATGTACCCTGAGTTAATCCGGAAGACCGGCCTGCGACCTGACATAGTTCTCCACTCTGTGGAGAAACGTCAGCTCATCCTGATTGAGCTGACCGTGCCGTATGAGTCGCGAATGGACGAAAGCCATATGTATAAGCTCCAGAAATACAGTGACTTAAAAGCCGGTCCGAGGAGAGAAGAAGCGTACACAGTACGAATCTTCGCCGTCAAAGTAGGCGCAAGAGGTCTCGTTTCCACTTCAATGTGCAATGTGATTAAACAACTAGGCTTACGAGGTAATGAACGCAAACGGACACTTAAACAGCCGGGCGAGGTTGCTGAGGGGGCCTTGAGCTGGCTCTGGGCACAACGGAACAACATAGGGGACAGGCCTCAGTGAGCTGGTCTGGGTGTCTAGTGGAGAAGAACTTCTCATCCCTTAAAGTCTATGGTGTCCGAATTGTCTGTCAGTGTCCCTCAGCCACCTGCACAAAAAGTCCAACATGTGTCCGGTAAACCAATCGTAAGTTTGCCACTCGGTCGTCCAGGTATGCAGACTGCTTTAATTATTCTACCGCAATGACTACTTATCTCACAGTACCTATTGCAAATCACCAATTCGTCTTGTCCCTGTTCAAATAACATCCGGTAATAGGTGCAGCAGGGGAAACCAACCCTGAGCTTCATGAACTCAGGTGGGCCCACTCTCTGAAAATGTATAGGAGCTCGTGGGCCGAAACATTTGTCGACGAGAGGTTACTTCTACTGGTGATTGGTAGAACCCTGCTGTACATGCTCCCCTGTGGAGTTTCTTCTTATTAACATACTTCTCAGACGCTTAGATCTTAACCTGACTTCACCAATGTTCTCCTGTATCCACATTTCTTTCTGATTC